CAAAAAAAGAAAACAAATCGATCATATTTTTGTCCCTTTTCTATATTTATTTGCATTTTTGTTAAAGTAGTTGGATAATTAAAATTTATTTTAATGACACATCTGTTGGCTTCCTTTTCTCCATATTCTTACCAAACTGTTCAGGAAGGAAGGAAGGAAGGAAGGAAGGAAGGAAGGAAGGAAGGAAGGAAGGAAGAATGAACTAGATGGTGCACACCTGTAATCCAAGCACTGGGGAAGCAGAAGATTCCATTCAAGACCATCCTCAGTCTCACAGGAAGTTCATGGCCAGCCTGGGAAACATGAAATATTAGAGTATGCATACTGCCTAAACCTCCTTTTAACGACATTTCATTTAATTATAGAAAATTGTAAATACTTAAAGAAGCAGAAGGGGAGTAAAGAATACCCAAGTCTCTGGGCAGTAGATCAGTATTTATCCTGGGTATACAAATGGACTTTGGGCTCCCATCCAACAATGAGAGATGCACTCTCACCCTGGACTCTTGGGTGAGGGTCTAGGCCCTGCCCTGGGTGAAATGACAAACTATGGACACACTCATGGAGGGCCTCACCCTCCCTGGGGAAATGAGGAGATATTGGAGGGGTTGGTGGGAGCGCCTGGGAGGAGGGGAGGGAAAGGCAGAGGGAACTGGAATTGACGTGTGAAGCAACCTTGTTTCTAATTTAAATAAATAAAAACTTAAAAAAGAAGTATATAGGTCAAATAATGAGGCAAATAACCTACCACTCAAGAGGTTCAAGCAAGAGGGCTACAATTTCAGGCCACACTAAGTTGCAGCACAGTGTCTTGAGTGGTAGGAACACATACATGTATCACTACACTCACTTTATGCAAGAAACTTGGGAGTTCTACCTGAGGTCAGCCTGATGGCTCAGTGTGTGAAGGTGCTTGCTGCCAAGTTTGGCATGGTGAATTCAGAACCATAGGCTGACATTGTAGAGGTAAGGATAGACTCCCTCATGTTGGCCTCTAATTTCTTTTGTACACCCTAACATGAATATACACACATAAATAAACAAACTTATCATAAGCTAATGATAAAAGGAAAAGTTACCAAGCTGAGCATGGCAGCTCATAGCTGAAATCCTAACACATGGACACCATCATTCAACTTCTTAGGACTTGAACTTCTGATCTGCCCTTCTAAGTAGAAGAAGGAGGATCAGAACTTGCAGCCCAACCGTTCCTAAACATTTCCAGTAACAGGCCAGTCTGGGTTATAGGAGACATGGAGTCAAAGAATAAACAACTAGACCTATGGCTCAATGTCAATCATTGGATCATAAATTCAAGGCCAGCCTGAGTTACGTATCACCTTCCAGGTCATTCAGGACTTCATAGATCCTGGTTCAACAAAACAAACACATAGAATTAGTCAAGTATGGTAGCAAATACCTTTAATCACAGCACTGTACTTATGGTAGCTTATATTTGGGAAGTGAAAGTGGAACAAATCTTCCTAAAATTGTTTGTTGTCATGAGGTTTTATCACAGCCACAGATACACAGAATCCATAAACCAGTAAAGGACAACATCTGTAGACTGTGATACTTCAATTATTCCACCTAGAAGTATTAACCTTGAGAGGGTGTGTATTAAAGTTTACATGTTAAATGTCCAAGGAATGATCCTGTGTTTGAATATTGATCCCTAGCATTGTACTTCAATGTTTTTGAAGGTATGGTAAATGTGATAAATCAAACCTAGAATGAGGACAAGGGTCATGGGAGGTATAGAGAAGCTAACTGAATGCAAACAGCCTCCTTGGGCCATTATGCCCCACTGACCAGACCAGCCTTCACGTCCTTGGGGACACATGTGTGTGAGGTATGTTGAGCCATCATAGAACCTAGGGTGCCAGGATATGCCTCCATCTCCCACATGGGTTGTCTTAGGGTTCTTGCAGACAAGTATTTTCTTGACCATTTTGAACATGCCAGGCTTCTGCCTCTGGGATCCTGGGCTTTGGTGAGAAGTCTCAGGCCTACTGGAGACCATGTGATGAATGCTGTCATCTTTAACCCCCACAGATGTTTGTTCCAGGCCCTAGGGTGCAATGTAACACAGTATTTTGTCACCACATCCCAATACAGTCATCCTATAGAGCCCAGGAATCAGTCTTTAGAGAAAAATAACCTGAAAACTTTTAAGTGTAGACATGCTGAGCTATTACATCCTTGTCCTAGGGTGGTAGGTTCCAAAAGAAAAGCAAAACACTATGCCCCTACTACCCTGAGCATGTCAGAATCCATAACCAAGGGAGGGCCAATGTTACGGGACCCTTTGCCATTCTTATGATTCTGGTTCATTATAAAAGTGAAACATATCCTGGTTAAGGTTGGGTGTCAATGTCCCACAAAGAATCAAGTGTTTGGACGCAGTCCCCACCAGGTGACATCATTTGGGAAAACTGGTGGACCCAGGAAAGTGGCTTTACAGGAAGTAGTGGCTCATTGGGTACAGGGGACAGCCATTTGAATGTAGCCAGTGTCATCAGGCTCCTACTGCCACACTGAACAGAATAGCTTTCCTGTCCTTGGTGACAGAAGGTAAAGAAACCATTGAGGTGTGCTGAGCTGCCATTGGTCCATTTCTTGCTGTGACCTCACAATGACAGAATCCTCTGCACTAACAGCTCTGGCTGAGGCTGACTCCAGTCCTTACAGTTCAGAAGCTGTTAGCTGGTTGGAGACTATTGAGATTCACTCATCAGTGAGCTACTTGTACTTGGATAGTGGTGAATTGGTGAATCTGAACACAGTGAGTGGCCTCTAGTTCACAGATACCGGGTTTAGAGATTTTGTTTCCCTGAATTTAAACTAAATCTCACAGTCCTTCTTCTTTGGTTTGGGGTATAATGTGTGGCAATTTTTATTAGAATTTACTCTATGTGTTATGTTTTGATTTTTCGAGACAGGGTTTTGGAGGCTGTCCTGGAACTCATGTGTAGACCATGATGGCACAAACTCACAGAGATTCGCCTGTCCATGCCTCGCATTTGCTGGGACTTAAGGGGTGTGCCACCAAAGTCCGACTGAATTTACTCTATTTTAATGTGTCATTTTATCTGGACTTATCTCTTCTTTTGCATTTAAAAATATCAGTCTATATTAATTGAACAAGATTCTCATGGGGCATTTCCATACATGTACAAAAACTTGGACCACATTCCCGTGATCTCACTGCCCCTTTCCAAGTCCCTAGTGTTTCCTTTTTTAATTCAGCCACTTTCTGAGTACAGGGCAAGTCATGTGTACTGTTGAGAGGACTGACAGGCCACAATGGATGGTCTCTTAGGGAAGGGCACCAATGTGTCTGTGCTTTGACAGAAAGCCTCAAGCTAGGTGGTTATCTTGGGATCTTCCTGGCAGTTCAAGGTCATGATTGGCAAGGACAGAGAAAATAGTCAGATCCTCTTCTTTCGATGAAATATATGGAACAGGGCAACTGAAAAGAATTCAAGAACACAGTAAGTGAAAGTGTAAAGAGAGCCTGCAAACTCTTAGAGGCTAAGTAGCAATCAGCTAACCTTCCTATTTGGACAGATACCCAACAAGTAAAGTGTCTCTCCACTCACCCCACACCAAATGACCCTAAATCGCTAAGAAGCCCCATGCTCCTTCTGTTACATCCCCTTATCCCTATTCCTGACTTCCCCATCCTGTCTGTAGCTAATTCCTATCAACGGCGGTTGTCTCCATGCTCTGATCCAAGGTTATTTTGATGAACAACAGACTCTAGGTTGCTGGGTTTTCCATTGAGCTCCTATACAAGATGCATCAGCTGACCCTGAAGGACAACTCTCCTTAGGATGGCCACAGCTAGTTGGATCATGTCTGATTGCAGGGTGTGTGTGTGTGTGTGTGTGTGTGTGTGTGTGTGTGTGTGTTTGTGTGTGAGTGTGTGTGTGCACACATGTGCCTGTGTCCTGCAAAGTCCCTGTTAAAAACTTCAATCCTAAGAGAACTCTATTAACAAATGGGCACTCAGGAGCACTAGAGATTGTCACACAGAAGAACATGTGGCCTTTAAGAAAAGGCTTCATAGACTGAGTTCATGCTTTTCCTTGATCATGTGAAAATACAAACCAATTCTAATTAGAATGCAGTTCTGTTATACTCACAGTCCTCAGGTACTTGATCTTATCTTGTGAATGTCTAGATACACAAGGAACCAATTTCTGTTGTATTTCAGTGACATAACTAAAGATTTTTGTTTGAGAGAGGAAGGGCCTAGGGTGCCAGAATATGGCTCCATCTCCCACATGCTGTCTTAGGGTTCTTGCAGACAAGTATTTTCTTGACCATTTTGAACATGCCAGGCTTCTGCCTCTGGGATCCTGGGCTTTGGTGAGAAGTCTCAGGCCTACTGGAGACCATGTGATGAATGCTGTCATCTTTAACCCCCACAGATGTTTGTTCCAGGCCCTAGGGTGCAATGGAACACAGTATTTTGTCACCACATCCCAATACAGTCATCCTATAGAGCCCAGGAATCAGTCTTTAGAGAAAAATAACCTGAAAACTTTTGAGTGTAGACATGCTGAGCTATTACATCCTTGTCCTAGGGTGGTAGGTTCCAAAAGAAAAGCAAAACACTATGCCCCTACTACCCTGAGCATGTCAGAATCCATAACCAAGGGAGGGCCAATGTTACGGGACCCTTTGCCATTCTTATGATTCTGGTTCATTATAAAAGTGAAACACATCCTGGTTAAGGTTGGGTGTCAATGTCCCACAAAGAATCAAGTGTTTGGACGCAGTCCCCACCAGGTGACATCATTTGGGAAAACTGGTGGACCCAGGAAAGTGGCTTTACAGGAAGTAGTGGCTCATTGGGCACATGGGGACAGCCATTTGAATGTAGCCAGTGTCATCAGGCTCCTACTGCCACACTGAACAGAATAGCTTTCCTGTCCTTGGTGACAGAAGGTAAAGAAACCATTGAGGTGTGCTGAGCTGCCATTGGTCCATTTCTTGCTGTGACCTCACAATGACAGAATCCTCTGCACTAACAGCTCTGGCTGAGGCTGACTCCAGTCCTTACAGTTCAGAAGCTGTTAGCTGGTTGGAGACTATTGAGATTCACTCATCAGTGAGCTACTTGTACTTGGATAGTGGTGAATTGGTGAATCTGAACACAGTGAGTGGCCTCTAGTTCATAGATACCGGGTTTAGAGATTTTGTTTCCCTGAATTTAAACTAAATCCACAGTCCTTCTTCTTTGGTTTGGGGTACAATATCTGGCAATTTTTATTTTTTATTAGAATTTACTCTATGTGTTATGTTTTGATTTTTCAAGACAGGGTTTTGGAGGCTGTCCTGGAACTCATGTGTAGACCACGATGGCACAAACTCACAGAGATTCGCCTGTCCATGCCTCGCATTTGCTGGGACTTAAGGGGTGTGCCACCAAAGTCCGACTGAATTTACTCTATTTTAATGTGTCATTTTATCTGGACTTATCTCTTCTTTTGCCATTTAAAAATATCAGTCTATATTAATTGAACAAGATTCTCATGGGGCATTTCCATACATGTACAAAAACTTGGACCACATTCCCGTGATCTCACTGCCCCCTTCCAAGTCCCTAGTGTTTCCCTTTTTAATTCAGCCACTTTCTGAGTACAGGCCAAGTCATGTGTACTGTTGAGAGGACTGACAGGCCACAATGGATGGTCTCTTAGGGAAGGGCACCAATGTGTCTGTGCTTTGACAGAAAGCCTCAAGCTAGGTGGTTATCTTGGGATCTTCCTGGCAGTTCAAGGTCATGATTGGCAAGGACAGAGAAAATAGTCAGATCCTCTTCTTTCGATGAAATATATGGAACAGGGCAGCTGAAAAGAATTCAAGAACACAGTAAGTGAAAGTGTAAAGAGAGCCTGCAAACTCTTAGAGGCCAAGTAGCAATCAACTAACCTTCCTATTTGGACAGATACCCAACAAGTAAAGTGTCTCTCCACTCACCCCACACCAAATGACCCTAAATCGCTAAGAAGCCCCATGCTCCTTCCGTTACATACCCTTATCCCTATTCCTGACTTCCCCATCCTCTCTGTAGCTAATTCCTATCAACGGCAGTTGTCTCCATGCTCTGATCCAAGGTTATTTTGATGAACAACAGACTCTAGGTTGCTGGGTTTTCCTTTGAGCTCCTATACAAGATGCATCAGCTGACCCTGAAGGACAACTCTCCTTAGGATGGCCACAGCTAGTTGGATCATGTCTGATTGCAGGGTGTGTGTGTGTGTGTGTGTGTGTGTGTGTGTGTGTGTGTGTGTGTGTGTGTGTGTGTGCACACATGTGCCTGTGTCCTGCAAAGTCCCTGTTAAAAACTTCAATCCTAAGAGAACTCTATTAACAAATGGGCACTCAGGAGCACTAGAGATTGTCACACAGAAGAACATGTGGCCTTTAAGAAAAGGCTTCATAGACTGAGTTCATGCTTTTCCTTGATCATGTGAAAATACAAACCAATTCTAATTAGAATGCAGTCCTGTTATACTCACAGTCCTCAGGTACTTGATCTTATCTTGCGAATGTCTAGATACACAAGGAACCAATTTCTGTTGTATTTCAGTGACATAACTAAAGATTTTTGTTTGAGAGAGGAAGGGCCTAGGGTGCCAGAATATGGCTCCATCTCCCACATGCTGTCTTAGGGTTCTGGCAGACAAATATTTTCTTGACCATTTGAGTATATCAGGCTACTGCCTCTGGGATCCTGGGCTTTGGTGAGAAGTCTCAGGTCTCATGAGTATCATGTGTTGAATGACGTCATCTTTAACCCCCCATAGATGTTACTCCAGGCCCTGGGGTTCGAAGAAACACAGCATTTTGTCACAACATCCCGATATAGTCAGTGGCTGCCTGTTCTCTGAGTGAATTCTCCTGAGCCATTTCCCCACATGGACACTCTGGGTTTTCAAGTGTCTGTTGTCTTTGCAACTGCTCTCCCTTCTGGTTTTACTAGAACCTCATCTCTGTCAGTATTGGTTACAGAAAGAGGATCATGATCCTCTGCAATGAGCATCTCTTAGCTTCTGTGACCTTTGTTTTATTCTCAGAGTTGCTGGATGGTTCCTGCATACCCCATTGGTGTCATATTCTACTGTCCACTGTTGTAGAAGATGCTTTCTTCTCTTGTGAGCGTTAAGTACCTGCTTAGTTTGCCTGCAATGTCTCTGAGTGTCATCTTAAGGGCATAGGAATGGGTTGCTATGGACATGCTCCTAGGCCTGATTTGAACAGTTTCTTTAAACTTCCCCCTTTTCAATTCGGTTCTAGCCATATCACCGAGGACGCGACCATGGAGCAGGGCAGGGAGGCCTGCTGCTCCTCTGAGGACTCCTTCATGCCTGAATATAAGATGCTGAAGACCGTGGGCCAGGGACAATTTTCGAAGGTCAAGCTGGCCATCCACGTTCCTACTGTAACCCATGTGGCTGTAAAAATGATCAGAAATGAGAAGGACTACGCCTCAGTTGTTGCTAGTGAAATAAACATCATGAAATCTCTCAAACACCCGCACATAATCGAATTGTTCCACGTGTTCCAATCAAGAGACACCACCTTCTTAGTGATGGAACACGCATCACAGGGAGATCTTTATCGATACATTATGGAACGGAGGTGCTTACATGAGAGCGAGGCACGGAGGCTATTTACCCAGATTGTCCTTGCAGTTGAGTATTGCCACAACAACCAGATTGCCCATAGAGACATTAAAGCTGATAACATACTGCTTGACTGGATGGGCAACGCAAAACTTTGCGATTTTGGCCTTGCAGCAAAAGTGCCCCCAGGGCACCTTCTGACAGATTACTGTGGTACCCCTCTCTACTGTGCACCAGAACTTTTTGTTGGCGAAGCCTATGATGGTTTCAGAGCTGATATATGGAGTTTGGGAGTTCTCCTCTTCCTCATGGTGGTTGGGCGCTTTCCCTTCTGGGCCAGGTCTCCTGAAGGTCTGAGGCGGCAGATCCTCAGCTCAAAATACAGCATACCTGAGCATATTTCCAACGATATTTTCATAGTCATCATACGATTACTGATGATCAACCCAGGCAGCAGGCCCAGCATTGATCAAATCATGAGGTGCTCCATGATCACAGACACCCTTGCACGTTTGCCTCCTTCCACACAGAGACTCCCAGGCACCCTGACAACCACCAGCATTGTCAGCAGCATGACGGTCATGGGGTATAAGTCTGAGGAAAACACTGATTGTCTCAGAGAACAAAAGGACAACCAGCTGATGGCCACTTACCTGATTCTCAAACACGAGTCCTCTGTGGGAGATAGCTGCCATCAGCCGGTGAAACCCAGGCAGTCAGGCCTTGTCCTCAACCTGGGAGATCATCACACCTTCCCTGTGCCTCTAAGGAGAGCTACTGAGCCTGCTCCCCTGGCCTTCACCATGTCATGCAGTCTTCAGGAGACAGAGCATGAGAACAATGCCAGGCAGGGTGGCACAAGGCATAGCATGCCTGCCACCCTATGCCACCTGTCAGACAGGCCCCAACCTCCACACCTAGTCTTCCCGAACAGGCCCCGTTCTCTTGACCTTACACGCAGTAGCGTGGTAATGAGCGAGAGTTCCTCTGAGTCAAAGATCGGGTCACATGTCAGCCCCAATGACAGTGTCTGCCCATCACTGTTCTTAATGTTCAATGATTCTTGTTCACCAGACGACAAGGAGACCACATGTAACACAGGCAGTGTTTCTTCCTGGAGTTATCAAGAGGAACTCTGCAGCTCCAGAGACACAGCTCAGAGTGTAACTTCCAAAGGCCCCTCCTCTGGGGATACCAGGCAGGGAGACTCCAGGATACAAGAAGAAATTAGTGAGGAAATGACTATCACACAGGAAGAGGCCATGAATGAGGAAGGTACCATCATACACGAAACAACCATACCCCAGGAAGAGGCTCTCACACCAGAAGTGACCAATACTCATGATGAGACCATCACAGAAGAAACCACCATGGTCGATGGAGAGACCATGGCTCACACTGAGGCCATCATAGAGGAAAAGAATATAATGGAGGAGGAGGACATGCATCGGGAAGCAAATGTCTCCCTGGAAGTGAGGAGGACCCAGGCAGGGCATAAGACTCAGGATGACAGCATCACAGAGGAGGAGGCCATCACCCAAGGCCAGCCTGAGGTTGCCGGCCAGGCTTCCTCCCCAATCCGGAGGCGCCACAGGTGGAAGGGGTTCAGGAAAACAATGGTGAACTGCCTCAGACACGTGTGCTTCTGTTTGCCACCTGCCAGGAGAAGCCACGATGCCTGTCAGAACCTGGCTCCAAAGAAACCGGATTGTGGAGTCACTCATAGAACCTGGTGGCGACCGGCCTGCTGCTCCTCTGAGGATTCCTTCATGCCTGATTATAAGATGTTGAAGACCGTGGGCCAGGGACAATTTTCGAAGGTTAAGCTGGCCATCCACGTTCCTACTGTAACCCATGTGGCTGTAAAAATGATCAGAAATGAGGAGTACGCCTCAGTTGTTGCTACTGAAATCAACATAATGAAATCTCTCAAACACCCGAACATAATCGAATTGCTGAACGTGTTCCAATCAAGAGACACCACCTTCTTAGTGATGGAGCACGCATCACAAGGAGATCTTTTTGGACACATTATGCAACAGAGGTGCTTAATTGAGAGTGAGGCACGGAGGCTATTTACCCAGATTCTCCTTGCAGTTCAATACTGCCACAACAACCAGATCGTCCATAGGGACATTAAGGCCAATAACATACTGCTTGACTGTATGGGAAACGCAAAACTTTGCGATTTTGGCCTTGCAGCAAAGGTGCCCCCAGGGGACCTGATGACAGATTCCTGTGGTACCCCGCTCTACTGTGCTCCAGAAGTGTTCTCAGGTGAAGCCTATGATGGTTTCAGAGCTGATATATGGAGTTTGGGAGTTCTCCTCTTCCTCATGGTGGTTGGGCGCTTTCCCTTCTGTGCCAGGTCTCCTGAAGGTGTCAGAATACCTCAGCACATTTCCACCGATATTTCCATAGTCATCACCCAACTACTGATGAAGGACCCAGGCGGGAGGGCCAACATTGAACAAATCATGGCGTGCCCCATGATCAGGGACACCATTGCCCTTTTGCCTCCTTCCACACAGAGACTCCCAGGCACCCTGACAACCACCAGCATTGTCAGCAGCATGACGGTCATGGGGTATAAGTCTGAGGAAAACACTGATTGTCTCAGAGAACAAAAGGACAACCAGCTGATGGCCACTTACCTGATTCTCAAACACGAGTCCTCTGTGGGAGATAGCTGCCATCAGCCGGTGAAACCCAGGCAGTCAGGCCTTGTCCTCAACCTGGGAGATCATCACACCTTCCCTGTGCCTCTAAGGAGAGCTACTGAGCCTGCTCCCCTGGCCTTCACCATGTCATGCAGTCTTCAGGAGACAGAGCATGAGAACAATGCCAGGCAGGGTGGCACAAGGCATAGCATGCCTGCCACCCTATGCCACCTGTCAGACAGGCCCCAACCTCCACACCTAGTCTTCCCGAACAGGCCCCGTTCTCTTGACCTTACACGCAGTAGCGTGGTAATGAGCGAGAGTTCCTCTGAGTCAAAGATCGGGTCACATGTCAGCCCCAATGACAGTGTCTGCCCATCACTGTTCTTAATGTTCAATGATTCTTGTTCACCAGACGACAAGGAGACCACATGTAACACAGGCAGTGTTTCTTCCTGGAGTTATCAAGAGGAACTCTGCAGCTCCAGAGACACAGCTCAGAGTGTAACTTCCAAAGGCCCCTCCTCTGGGGATACCAGGCAGGGAGACTCCAGGATACAAGAAGAAATTAGTGAGGAAATGACTATCACACAGGAAGAGGCCATGAATGAGGAAGGTACCATCATACACGAAACAACCATACCCCAGGAAGAGGCTCTCACACCAGAAGTGACCAATACTCATGATGAGACCATCACAGAAGAAACCACCATGGTCGATGGAGAGACCATGGCTCACACTGAGGCCATCATAGAGGAAAAGAATATAATGGAGGAGGAGGACATGCATCGGGAAGCAAATGTCTCCCTGGAAGTGAGGAGGACCCAGGCAGGGCATAAGACTCAGGATGACAGCATCACAGAGGAGGAGGCCATCACCCAAGGCCAGCCTGAGGTTGCCGGCCAGGCTTCCTCCCCAATCCGGAGGCGCCACAGGTGGAAGGGGTTCAAGAAAACAATGGTGAACTGCCTCAGACACGTGTGCTTCTGTTTGCCACCTGCCAGGAGAAGCCACGATGCCTGTCAGAACCTGGCTCCAAAGAAACGGGATCCTGGAGTCACCCACAGAATCAGGTGGGGCCACTTACTTTATTTTACTCATTCTTTGCCTCCTGTCCTTTGTGACAGACGATGACTATGCCCACTTGCGGCCCACTTGTTTTGTTTTCCTTTATTTTTATTTAAGTAGGAAGCAAGCTTGTTTCTCATGTCAATCACATATCCCTCTCCTCCCCTCCTGCAACCCCCCCCCACACACACACCAGACTCCTCCAGTCCCCCAACCAATCTCTACTCTGATCCCAAGTGAGTGTGAGATCCTCTATTGTGGCACACTTGTGAACTTAAGAACCTGTTCCTTCAGAAAGACCAACCCCAGAGGATGCCCTCCAGTGTGACCTCAGGCTTGTTGAGGTAGAATTGGACAGCAGAGATGCTGATCAAAGCAGGCAGAGGGATGCTTAGGTGCTGCATCGTCAGCACAGTAAGTTCTATGTGTGCCAAAGTTACTAAGTGTCTGCTTCCTCTTTCTTTCTGCTTTGTAGTACTGAAGATGTCAAGGCCCAGCTCCGTGGCTTATGAGCCACGGGTTGGGGATCGGCCTGGCTGAGGTGTGGACAATCCCGCAGGAGAGCGAGGCCAGACGTCCAGGAGGCAGTGTGTCCACAGGCTCCTCCTGCAGAGGAAGAACAGCTGTCCACACCAGCTGAGCTCTCACCAGGTGAAATCCCAGGCGGGAAGGGCAGGCTTTACATGGGGTCTTTCTTGTTCAGAGGGCAGGGCAGAGTTACAAAGGTGGCCCAGGCTGTGTTGTGGAACAATAGACCCTTCCCCTCTCCCCTGCCTGGGTAAACATCACAGACTGCACTCTGGGTAATGACTGTCCTTGGCTCCTTGTTTCCTGGCAGAGAACATGATCTTCTCCATGGGGTGGCCCTTTTCACCCCCAGGGAGAGTATTCCTAGTTAGCCAGTCTCATCATCCCCAAGATGGGCTCTCAGGTTGAGAATCTGGCCTGCAAGAGGCCCTATAGAATGCTCTAGAGGGCAACGTCCTGCCAAACACTTGCAAAAACCTGCAAATGTTCTGAGTCCTCAGACCCCACTCAGAGCAAAACTTGGAAATTCTCATCTGGGGAGTGACTCAAGGGCAGCCGATTCCTCTCTCTCCACCACTAGTTACTCACCAGCTGCCTCTCCATGCTTGCTTCTTCAAGGCCGTCATTCACTTTGAGAACTGGATGCCGAACTCAACACCGCTTGCCTCAGCGTGAGGGGATGATGGGTGTCCTGAACATGGAAAAACTGAAACTTTCAAGAGGGGCCAGAACCTGCTGTAGGCCATGCCTAGTGCCAGCCACAGTGTGCTCTCTGCCACTCGGTGGTTGCCTCCATCTACTTGACTCCTTGCAATTCCATGTCTGCTCTCAGCCAGGCTATGGTTGCTTCCATTTCTGTCTCATTTCAAGTTGATTGTTCTCCCACAGGTAAGGGGCCTTTTGCAGGTCATGTGGGAGAGCTTCCGGGAAACCATCCCTGTTTATTCTGCAGTTACACTGGCATGATAACATCCTGTATCCTCTTTCTCCCTAGACTGTCCCAAATTGTCATGTCTCGACGAACAGGGAAGGCTGTGTGACTGACATGGATGGTCTGTCTATCCCACGTGTCCCTAAATTGAACCCAGGAAGAAAAGGTTCCTGGAATCTTCATTTTGCTGGGACATCATCTGTGCTTCCCAGCTTCTCCGTATCTTGTTCTGAGAGGTTCACAAAAAATTCTCTGACATGTCCTCTGAGCAACACTAAGTTCATTGGAAAGACATTTTTAACCGAATCTGAGAAGGAAGGAGTGTCTTCTACTCTGAGGTTGCACGAGCACCCCAGAACCCTATGCTTTCCTAACCACCATCTACAGCCCTGGGAAAGGAGATTCCCCAGGATCCTGTTCTGGCCTCAGCCACTGGACCAGGATGAGCTGCTCAGACACCCCTGAGGAAGAATTCTCAGGGCACTCTATCATGCGTGGGAGGAAGATCTGACTTGCCATTCTGATAATAGTAACAAAACTATATTGTTCACCTGCCCCCCATCCACTGGAATGTGGAGCCCCTGGTGAGACTTTTCATTCCTCTCTCTCTCTCTCTCAACTTTCTCTGCCTCCATCTCTGTGTTTGTCTCTGTCTCTGTGTCTACTTATACATGAACAACTTCCATGCAGGTAAGCTGCTCTGTCTTAATCTGGATCTGAAAAGACTCACTATTATTCCCTGAAGAAGGCCATGAACAGCAATCACTAATACAAACATAAAATTGACATTGACTGGAGTAGATACAGAAATTATAACTCAGACATGAAACCTTGAATCACCCACTTAAAAAGAAACGTATCACAGAAGTATGCTAAGGGAGCCCATTCTGTCTACAACCCAAGATGGAAATTGTCTTTCATTCCCTGACAGTAGTGCTAAGATGTCACATGCACAATTCCATCTTATTTTCTGACATTTGTTTCTGTCCACATTGGGTGGTAGGAATAGTATTGCCCCAACTCTTTTCTTGTGTTGGCTGTAATGTTCACACAGAGTCTTGCCCTGTAACTGGGGAGGTCTGAGTGCTCTGTGTTGTCCACGCTGGATTTATTTCCCTGTGGTGCTGCAGACTCAGTCCTCCTTAGGTGCACTGGAACGCTGCTAGCATTTGTGGTTTAGTCTCGATCTCTTCTGTCCCAGGCAGGCCGCTCTGTAGGAAAAGATGACTTGCAGCAGGATCTTCGTCTTCTTCTCCAACTCCCCAAGCCAGAATTTCCAGGTCTGAATCCCTCTGCCCTGTCAAGTAGAAGCAGCTCAGGGCCAGTGTAGGGAGTTCCGGGCTGAGTGTAGCCCATCACAAAGGACATGCACATTTTGAATATTTGAAGTCTGAGATGTGGACACTGGCGCTGGGAGCTGTGTGAATGAAAGGACAAGCAGGAATGGCAGCTTGCTGGCCTGGGATCAGTGAGACCCTCATGTGAAAAGTAAGGTGGATGCCCATGGGCCCGGAGTCCCCTTTGAACCCAGGACTGTGGGTGGGGGAGGCAGCCTGATCTCTGTGAATTCTGGTCTGCAGAGAGAGTTCAGGCACAGCCAGGTATACACAGAGACACCCTGTCTCAAAAAGCAAACAAGAAAATTAAGGTGTAAAAGCACTGGATGAATATTTCTGTTCTACACACATACTCAAAGGGTGAGAACAGACAGACACACAATACTCATTATGTACAATTCAGCAATCCTGCCTTACCTGTTTTTCCTCAATACTGTCTAGACCCTATATTCCTGGGATTTTATTGTCATTTCCAAAATTCCTGGCTCTTAAACCCCACAGCGACATAACTATCAGTCCCCTAAAATGAGAAACCTTTTTTTTCCCCTCTCCTCGAATGCTGACACAGGTTTTCTGTATGCAGTCCAGGCTGCCAAGGACTGGCGGCCTCCTACCACTGGCCAACTGAGTGTTGGGGCTTCAGGTCAGAACCTAATTCCATTGGGTTTTGTGATTTTGTTTTTAAATGACGCATGTAGCTGTGGATATCCTTAAATTTTGAATCTTTCAATCTCCATGTACCAAATGCAGGGATTCCAGTAATTCTCCACCAAGTCTGGTTTATTTTGTCTTCTGGACAAACCCAGGGTTTCTTGTATGCTGGGCAAGAGCTGTCCCAACTGAGTCACACCTGTATCTCAGCCTATCCGGGGATTCAGTGTAGCTGAGGAAGATCTGGAGTTCTGGATCGCCCCTATGGAATTACAGGACTGCACCATTTACCCTGCATTTTCTCTTTTACCATTTCTAGATGACCTGTCTTTCTACTGAAAGTCTTTTGACGGACTGAAAGAAAGAACTGTGGCCAGACACCACTTTTCTTCTGAAGCTGGTGAGTTGGGACCTGGGTGGGAGGGAGGTAAAGGAAGCTGTCCCCATCCCATGCCATGTCAATGACACTCAGGTCAGTATGCAGCAGCCCAGGTCATCACCTGTGTAGCCAGGTATCCTTGAAGCCCCGTTCTGATCAGCAGCCCTCAGGTTGGGCCAGAATGGAAGGCAGAAGACTCTCCAGCGCATGTCCACAGCAGCAGCTGATGACAGTAGGAAGATGGAGCCTCAACCCCACTGCTTGAAGGTTTAGTGCCCTCGCCCCTGGGGTCTCATTCCCTCCCATTTGCCCTTTCTAGGCACTTTGTGGCAGAGCAAGGGTGAAGGAGTATGCCAATAATTCCAGGACTCTGGAGGCTTGGATTGTAGACGTGTCATAGACTCAAGGCAAGCCTGGGCTATATAAGGACCAGTAGTCTAGCTTTGGTGGCAGTGTAAGATCTCTCTCTAAAAACAGAATGTGACCAGGAGGACTAGGGATCAGTGTGTCCAGCCTGCAGAGTGATTCTTGGTCCTGGGTTCTTTCCCAGCACAAATTACAACCAGGTGGAGCTTCCCTGATGTTGGGGGTAGAGACAAGAGGATCAGGCAGTCAAGGTCATCTTCCAAAGCAGAGAGTTTGAGGCCAGTCTAGGAGGAATGACACTATGTTCAATAAGCAATCCCTACTCCCAAATCTAAATGCCCATATCTGAGAAAAGAATGCCATGGAAGCCCATCACAACCTCATATCCTGGTGAATCAGAATGCCTTTCCCATGGAGACATGAACCCAGAGCATCCAGAGGTGATTCACATCTGGAATTGGCCTGAGCATTGAGTCATCACCTGTGCACTGCACTAAGGAGCTGTTCAGGAAGTACTTCTTAAGGGTCATGTGGGAGGAGTGAGGAGGGAGGCATGGAGGGCATGGAGACTCCCTCCTGTGCCAATGAGAAAGGCAGAATGCAGCTGGCTCTTGAAGCTGTGAGACACTCTGATGTTTTGCTGCCCCCTTGTGGCCTCTCTAAACCTGTTCCCTGTTAGGGCACCTGATCTGCTGCAGTCCCTGCTTCAGCTCTGGACAAGATTGTGGTGGTTAGGTGGCTTTCAGAACGGGGTCGATGGAGGCTTACCCTGCTAAACCCATCTAACATGCTTTTGTCCTTCCTTCTTTCATTGCTTTTTCCCATTTATGATTACAGACAAAATAGCTTTCAGAGCTGGGCTGTCCAGATGTCCCTGAACAAATTTCACAGACCCACTGCTGCTCCTGGACCTGCACTCCACAATGGAGATGACTGGGTTGCAAGTAAAGTCTGTGAAATCCACACCAGTGTGAGATTCAGAAGCACAGGAGGGCTGGGACCGTGCCTGTCTGTCCACAATACAGTGCCTGCTTTCGTTGTGACATATGACTTCTTTCCCCAGAAAGCGAGGGAAAAACCAGCAGGCTGGCTGAGGCTTCTTACCCCAGCACTTGAGATGGAGACAGGTGCATGTCCTTTTTGTTTTGTTTTATTATGTTTTTGAGACATGGATTTTCTGTCTGTCTCTGTCTCTCTAGAGCAGACTGGCCTTTGTCTCACTGACATTTGGCTGCTTCTGCCTCCCAAGTCCTGGGATCAAAGTCGTGCACCACCACAAACACCACCTTCTTGGCTGCAGGTGCTTCAACCTTGCTGGACTTGAGCAAGCCTGTGTCCAAAACACAAGGTGTACAGCATCTCAGAGTTGACATTTGAGGGAATACATGCGCTACATACATAAAGGTTGGAGAATACATGTGGATATATACAAGCACACAGATGCACAAGCACACAACTGTAAACATATTACAGGTGAGTGTATCTTCACGCGCACACACACACACACACACACCACAACCACAACCACCACCAAAGTAAGCATAGTGATAAAGAAGTACAAAGTTATCTGAAGGACCAGGTAGCATTTGGAAGTCCTGACCTTCATGCAGGAGCATCCTGATGGGAAAACCAGGAGAGTGAGACAGGGTGATGCTGCTGAGAACACTGGGGTGGTCCTCTCTGGATGCTAGGTGATGACAGAGCCCAGCAAGCCAAGCTTTTGGGATGCTTATTACTGACCCGCAGATACAGGAGGTGGGCTGACAAGGTGTTCCCAGCGTTGTTAGCACTTGTGTCACCTAATGTCTCTGCTCTCTGCAGCTTGGGGCTATCAAAAGCCAGTGGAGATGCCCCTGCACTAGAAGAAGACCACCTCCATCAACTCTACTAGCACCCCCATATCATTAAGTTATGTTTGTTAATTTGGAAATAAATTGTTTTTTAATGAGGCTTTGTTTTTTTTCTGTATTTATTGTTTCCATACCAACCCCCGTTCACCCTCCCTCCCCTCCTCCTGCTTCCTACATTTACCCATCCCAACTTGCATCTTCTCCTCAGAGAGGGTAAGGACTCCCATGGGGAGTCAATGTGGTCTGTCACATGACCAAGTTGAGGCTGGACCAAGGCCCACACCGCTGTGCCTAGGCTGGGCAAGGTATGTCTCCATTGGGACTGTGCTCCAAAAATCCAGTTCATGCACAGGGATAGATCCTATTCCTACTGCCTTTGGCCCACAATTACTGCCCATGCCATACCACGATCAACTGCATTGAGGGGCCCTAGATCAGTGCTAAGCAGGTTTCCCAGCTGTCTGTGTGGAGACAGTGAGCTCCTGCTAGCTCAGGTCTGCTGTTTCTGTGATTTTCTCCCATCCTGGTTTGACCCCTTTGCTCATATTAGTATTCCATTCCTCCCTTTCTTTCACTGGTCTCCAGAATCTCAGGCCAGTGGTTAATTGTGGATCTCTGTGGTTTCTTGCTCATCCATAATGTCTCTCTCTGTCATAGCATATCTCTCTTGCTCTCCTGCCCTGTCCTTCCCCCAAACTGAACACCCCATTACGTCATGTTCTCCTCCTCAGTCCCCTTCCCTCCTCCCCTCTCACCTTCTACCATGCTCCCAATTTACTCAAGAGATTTTCTCCATTTCCCTTCCTAGGCAGATCCATGTATGTCCCTTCAGGGTCCTCTTTGCTACCTAGCTTCTCTGGGCTGGTGGGCTGTAGATGGGTTTGTTTCTCTTTAATATCTAACATCCACTTATGAGTGAATATGCCGTATTAGTCCTCACTCAAGATGTCTTTTTCTACTTCCATCCGTTTGCCTGTAATACTCAAGATGGTTTTAGTTTTGTTTTCCTTTGCTTTTACCACTGAGTATGCTCCATTGTGTAAGTGTACCACAACTTCTTTAGGCATCCTAAGGGCATCTAGGTTGTTTTTAAGGTTCTGACTATTACAAATAATGCTATGAACACACTTGACCAAATGCCCCTGTGGTGCGGTGTGCATCTTTTGGGTATATGACCAAAAGTGATATTGCTGGGTGACAAGGATAGTCAATGCAATATGGAAATTGATATATTTATATACCAGAGAAAGAACTTATACACAAGCTGGAAGATCGGAAGCATGGCAGGCTTCCAAGCAAAAATTGTTTTACAAATGTGGGTGTCCTTATATTTGGGGCATAGATATTCAGAGCTGAAAATTCATCTTGATGCATTTTTTCTGTAATGATGAATACGAAACATCCCTCATCTCCATTAATTAATTTTAGTTTGATGTCTACTTTGTCAGATATTATGATACCTACATCAGCTTGTATCTTAGGTCCATTTGATTGTAAAATCTTTTCCCAATCTTTACTGTCAGTTAACGTTTGTCTTTGAACTGGAGGTGCATTTCTTGTATGCAGCAGAAGGATGGATTCTGTTTCCATATGGATTCTGTTGATCTGTGTCTTTTTATAGGCAAGTTGAGACCACTGATATTAAGGGATATTAATGACCAGTTATTGCCACTTTCCATTACTTTTGTTTTAGTGTTGTTGGTAGTATTCTGTACGGGTTCCCTTAGGATTTAGCTGGTGGGGGATAATCTATTGCCTGTATTTTTGTGGGTGCAGTTAACTTCCTTTGGTTGGAGTTTTCCTTCTAGTATATCCTGTAGGGCAGGCTATGTGGATAGGTACTTTTTAAAATCGGACCTTGTCAAGGAATAGCTTTTTTCTCCACTTACAGTGATTGAATGCTTTGCTGGGTATAGTATACTAAGGTGGCATCCGTGGTCCCTTAAGTGTCTGCGTAACTCCTGTGTAAGACCTTCTGGTTTTCCTTGTTTCCAGTGAGGAGTGGGATATATTTTTGATAAGTCTGCCTTTATATATTACTTGGCATTTTCTTTTGAAGCTTTTAATATTTTCTTTTTTCCATGTGCTTAGTGCTTTCATTATATGTGGCAAGAGAACTGTTTTTGATCCAATTTATTTGGTTTTCTATAAACTTCTTGTACTTTCACAGGCATATCGGTTATCTTCTATGAATTTGTTGAATGTATTTTCTGTTCCTTTGATTTCCTGGACTACATCTCCTTCTTTTATCCCTAGTAATTCTTAGTTTCAGTCTTTTCATTCTCTCCCCCAGTCTGGAGTCTTCATCCTACTTGTCCCTTAGCCTGCATAGCTATTGACTGTTCAGCTTTGTATTAGAACAATCAGGTGCCTTAGGCAGGTAAGGTGAAACAGCAACATATTATATGTGGCATGAGAACTCTTTTGGTCCCATCTATTTGGAGTTTTGTAAACTTCTTGTACTGGATATTTCGTGATAAGAGTGTTGGATTTAGCATTTTCTTTGACCCATGAATCCAGTTCCTCGATGCTATCTACAACACCTGAGATTCCCTCTTCCATCTGTTGTATTCTGTTGTTTATGTTCACATTTGTCATTCCTGATCATTTACCTAGGCTTTTCTTTTCCAGAATTCCCTGGGCTTGTGTTTCTTTATTATCTCTACTTCAGCTTTCAAGTCTTTAACCATTTCCTTCCCCTGTGTGATTGTTTTTTTCTCAGTTTAATTTAAGGGATCTTGTGGATTTCTTCCAGTTTTTTGTTTCTGTTTTCTTCTACTTCTTTAAGGGATTTTCATCATTTCCTCCATAAGGGCCTCATCATCTTCATCAAGTTATTTTTAGGGTCATTTTCTTCTGCTTCATCTGCTTTGAGATATCCGTGTCTTGCTGTTGTAGAACCACTGGTTTCTGTTGGTGTCCTATTGTTCTATATGTTGTGGAGTGTATCTTACAGTGTCGTCTACCCATCTGTTCCTCCATCAGTACAGGTGGAGTTTGAGCTTCAGCGACGGTCACTGTTTCTCCAGTTGGTGCAGTTGGGAGCTGTGGCTCCAGTGATCACTCCTCCTGATGCAGACAAAGGAGTTCTCCAGCTCGCTCCTCCAGGTGCAGGCAGGGCCACAGGCTCCAGTGATCATTCCATCAGGTGCAGATGGGGCCACAGTTCCTTTGATCATTCTGTCAGGTGCATAGAGGGCTAAGATCCTTGCTGTGGCATTTCACACAGAGAATGGCACTGGATGCTGGCTGGGACACAGGTGCACTTTCTCAGAGGAAGTTCTTAGATAGCTTCTAGAAGTCACGCTGTGTACATGTCCAAATTGCTTCCCACTCTGCTGCTTTTTGTTGTTTTGAGACAGCTTCTTTTGCATAGCTCTGCTTTGGCAGGCCTGGTGTTATGTAGCCCATGCTGACCTTACATTTGAAGCAGTCTAGCTTCCTGAGTTCCTGGGATTATAGCTGTACCTCATCACTCCCTGATCCTTATGGGCCTGTTTTTATTTCAAGTTTTTTTAAAATAGGGTGGTCATATATTTCTGGGTTTTATTGCACTTGCTATGTTCAGAGGCTATCTTTATCTCCTGGTTATCTTTATCACCCCTTTAATTCTGGTATCACACATGCACATCAAGTTCAATACTCAAAGCATCCTAAGGAAGCCCTATCCAAACTGTGCTACATCGGTGGCCCAAAATGTGTTCTTTTTATGAACTTACCATGTTAAAAATATATGTATATGTGCATCTAAAGCCATGATTCTATGGGTGCCTGGTAACATTGGAGGCCATAAGATGGCCTGGGATCTCCTGAACCTTGAGTGAACTATCTTGTGGATGCTGGGAATTGAAGCTGGGTCTTCTGGTAGTACAACCAGCACTCTTAAACACTAATTATTTTCTCTAGCTCTTGGTCTTTTTAAAATGTAACTTGTTGTGTGCATCATCTTTTGAAAGAAAACATGAATTTGGAATGCTCAAGTAAAAGAGCCACCATTGCCATCAGATCACACTGCTATCTCACAAAACACCCTCAGAGCAGGGCTTGCTGACTGTTGACATTCTAGATCAGCATGTCCCTTGGGCACATCTGTAAGAGATTGTCTTCACTGTTGAGGACATCTCATGTCTCAGGCCCTGAACTGCAGTGTTAGGATACAACGAGCAAGAATGCCTATATGGTCTCTCTTCTCTTGACTGTATCAGTGATACGTGTAGGTGATTGGATTCTTGCCCGAATCCCACTAAATGACAGTGACCTGGACTGTAAACCAAGTAAGCTCTCTCTTCCATTGCTCTTTGTTATATTTTACCATAGTTATGGTGGTGAAAGCAGGACACTTTTCTTGTCTGTGTTAGATGCTAAGGTGATCAATGACTGATCAGTGGTCACCAGAACCACCTGAGCCCCTGGCTCTACAGTTTGCTTTGTCCTTCATGAGGGATAAGGAATGCAAAGGAGAGAGCAAAGGGAAAGTGAGACATGCTCCCGACTATAAAGGTAGCCAAGATGATGGATAATGTCCAGCTACACTGTTCTGAGCTGAAAGTGAAGTTGGTCATTTCTTACTGAGATTGGTCATTTTCTAGGCATAAATGTGGGTTGAACCAATGAGTGCCAAATACTGACTGTATATGCCCTTGGCCCTGTCCTGGGATGATCATGCACCAATTCCGCCTGCCTCTGCCTCCCAAGTGCTGGGATTAAAGGCGTGCACCACCATCGCCCAGCAGGAATTTTTTAAAAGTCCATTTTAACTTGATTTTGGACTTGAGGCTGTATCTCTTTGTACATGTTTTTCTGTAGTGACTGTTCTGGGGATTATATGTACATTTTCCAACTTCTGTAGCTTAGAGTTAAGTCTATACCAGCCCACATAAAATGTAGAACCCTTGCAATTACATGTACTCTTTACAACCTTAGACAACTCCCCCTACCTGCCATGTTTGCTACATGTATGTACACAGCTTGCTTGCTACAGTTACATAGATACTTAACAGTTTAAGAAGAAAGGGTTCCTTTCTGCATCTACACACATTTATGTCAACAGGAAGTTAGCATTTCTAGTGCCTGTCTCCA